TCTGTTTCTTATACCTCTCCTCTCCTCCTCCTTTTATCTACTTCTTTTTTCTTTTGGCCCCTTTGTTGGTAGCCACAGGCAAGGCTTTTGTTTTTTAACTTACGTCATTCGCCTTTGACTTCTTTTTCTGCTTCTTCTTCTTCATCTACCTCCTTCCCCCCTCCTCCTTGTCCGTCATCTTCTTCTTCTACCTCTCCCCTCCTCCTCCCTGCCCCTCGGTAGCCATAGGCGCACAGCAGGCTTTTTTTTTTCTTAACTAATCTTCTTCTTCTTCTTCTTCTTCTTCTTCTTCTTCTTCTTCTTCTTCTTCTTCTTCTTCCGCATTGGTAGCCATAGCCGTACGCAACGTTTTTTTTTTTTTTAATTAAGTTATTCTTCTCTTCTTCTTCTTATTTGTCCCTCGCCGTCCTCCCTCTTCTACTCTCCCACCTGTGGCCATGACGGGGGGCTATGCAGAAGGCGATGGTCGGAGGAGAGCAACTGCAGCGGAGAAGATGAAAGGATCAGCAGGGCCTTCTTGTGACAAGCCTGGACCGAGTACGAAGAGGACGAAGTCTACGGTGTGCACTGCAAAAGCTGGTGGGAAGCAGCCCACATCAAGGACCGACCCGAGCTTGTTTGAGGGGCAGGGTGAGATGGAACATGGGAAATTGCGGTTGAAGAACACGGTTTGGAACTAGTGCGAGCAAGGGCAGGAGGTTGCTACTTCGAAAGGGCGTGGGGAGTACTGGATCAGGTGCAGGTTGTGCCCCATAATCTTCAGGGGATCGACAAGCAAGGCTGTCAAACATTTCCTAAAGCCCATGAAGCCGTGTGCAATGAGGGCGGGGGAGATAGTCCACACTGTTGTTGCTGTCGGCGCGAAGATCCAACCGAATGACAAGAACACAAAGTACTTGCTGAAGAATTACAAAGGAACCAGTGCTGAGTCAGAAGTACTTCATGATCATGCGCTGACTGGAGAAGAAGGCTTCGATGATCTCCAAATAGGCGAGCCCCAGCCACTGCTTGGCCGGTCTGTCGCCCGCATTGCGAACTTGTCTGCTGCCGTGCTGGGCCAGGCGAGTGGAGGGGAGGGTGCAGCAGCGGGTGGAGGCAATGATGAAGGGCAAGGGTCGACATCACGAGTGGTCACCACCCGACAGACCACTGTACGGTGGTGGGTGGACAACGAGGCGCGTAAAAAATTGGACACGGCATGGGCGGAGGCCATGTACAAGGGCTGGCATCGCATTCATTTTCCGCTATATGGACACGACACAGACATTGCATGCTGTGTACTTGGAGGTGGCGAGCGGGAGGCCGAAGGTGAAGCTCCCTTCGTACAACCACACGAGGAAGGTCATGTTGGATGTCATCTATCTCAAGATACACAAGGAGGCGCTTTCATTGACTGCATGCTGGGACACGCCCGGATGCACGTTCATTACTGACGGGTCAACCGATCGCAAGAATCGGCCAGGGAGCAGAGTGCGGTCTTGTGGCGACGGTGACAATGACGGGGAGGAAGAAGAATGCCCAGCATTGGTGAGGTTGTGGGAGCAGGTCATGAGGGAGATAGGCTTGAACTACATCAATGCCATGTGCACCGACAACGCGGAGGTGAACAAGAAGGCGGCCCAGATCCTAGAACGACGCAAGGACAAGGAGGTGGCCAGGATTCCTTGGGTTCCTTGCGGGGCACACTGTTGCAGTCTCCTACTGAAGGACTTGGCAAACATGTCGTGGATCAAGGGCACTGTGAAGACCGCAAACACGATCGTGAAGTTCATCAGGAATTATCATGCCACCCACGGGCTGATGATGTGCATTGATGACACCTTGTCCCTACTTCGTCCCACTTAGGTCCACTTTGGATGCGTGTATATGATGCTGCAACACTTGGCAGACACAGAGAATGTCCTAACAAAGATGGTCGATGGGAGGGAGGCTGCAAAGTGGAGATCAATGAGATGGTCAGGGGAAAAGTTGCGCAGAAAGGCTGACCTTGTGTACTACACTGTGAGGCGCAGAAAGGCTGACCTAGTGTACTACACTGTGAGGTCCGAGTCTTGGTGGCCAAAAGTGAAGAAGATTGTCTCCGTCATGCGCCAGTGTACCAGTTGTTGAGAGGATGGACGTGGAAGGCACCTCTCCAACAAATCTTGTGGAGTACTAGAGCTCGCTGCTAGGAGGCTGACAAGTGTTGTGCTCACAAAGGAGCGGGAGGATGTGATGTAGAAGGTGCGGGATCGCATACAGATGATGAGGCAGCCGGTCCACGCAGCTGCATTCCTTCTCGACCCCCAACGGAGAAATCCACGTTGGCTCTTCCATCAGGATAGTGCGCTGGTGCAGAATGGGCTTTTTGTTGAGGTAGGTCGGGGGGGACTGGAACAGTAAGGCACATTCAGACATATGGGGGGATCTGGAGTTTCACAAGGAGCCTGAGAAGCAAGTGTCGTCGAACGTGGAGCCAGGGAAAGTCCCCAAGAAGAGCCAGGACGAGCCCATGTGGAAAAGGGTTGCGAAGGACGATGCTTCAAGGTTGACCCTGACAGACTGGTGGGGAGCACACTGCAGGGATGTTTCGGACCTTCAAAAAATTGCAGAGAAGGTCATGGGCATGTGGAGCACTGCCACCCCTGCTGAGCGCAACTGGGCGTCCATGGACTCCGTCCACTCTAAGAGACGGAACAGTCTGTTTTCGAGAAGCTGGTCTACATTCATTGGAACATGCAGTTGCTGCGTGCTCGAATCCACAAGGACAGGGGGTATATTGATGTGTGGGGTTCCTTCTTCGAGCCGTTGATGGAGCCAGTGAAGAATGATGGATCTGTGTTGTCAGGGCCTGCTGAGGATCCCGCAGAGAAAGAGGAGGCAAAGGAGAATGGTGAAGGCACCAAGAGGCAGAATTCCCAAGGAGCTTGTTGATTCCGACTCCAGCGGCAGCAACGTCCTCAAGGATCTCGTGTGGAAGGGCAAGTGTTGGGACAAGTCCTCATCGGAGGATTGTAGCGAGGAGGAGGCAGGGGACTCCGATTTCGAACTTCGTGAGGCGCCAACTGTCTCGGCAACCACATATGTTGGCAGGCGTACGAGGCAACGAGAGAGGGATCTTGAGGTGGAGCCCATGCCGGTTGTCGATGTGGTGGATACAGATGTCGAGTTTTTGTTGCACCCCCATGACGATCCGGACGAGGAGGAGGCCACACATGCTAAGGCAATGGCAGACAAGGATGCTGAACTTGTGGACAAGCGAATGCGTGCGGAGGAGGTCCGTCGTGCTGCGCTCGCTACCCACAGGGAGAGGGAGAGACGAGCTGCACAACAGAACAAGCACACCGATGAGCTGGTGAAGGAGGTGGACATGGAGGACAGGGAGAACATTGCAATGCACGAAGAAGAGAATATGGTACAACACGGTGGGGACGAAGGGCAGTGAGCGGACGGACCACGAGCGCAGTAGGAGATGGGGGTTATTGAGACAACGATGGAGAAGACCGGGCAACAGCAGGAGGAGGCTTCAGAGGCCAAGAAAGAGCAGCCCGCGGGGGGTGTGGCGTACATGCGCAGGCCCCGCGCACATTAGGAGCAACAAATGGAAGTGGAGGAATGAAACACCAGCCAGCAGGCCGCAATGAGTGACCAGCAGGAGCAGCAGCTGGAGGAGCAGCAGGCTGCAGAGGAAATCGGCACACCCCCATTCCCTGTGCAGAATGAGGCTGTGCAGCATGACAACCTATGGAAGAACAGGGCAGGGAGAAAGAGGAAGGTCACCATGGAGGAGTCCCCAACAGCGCCCTGACTTGACACTTGTGATTTAGCCTCTTGGGAGATTTCGGGGCTTGTGGAAGGCTCGGTAGTGCAACAGGGTACTAAGCTTGTGGGTCCATTGAAAAAGGGCAAATGGACTGCATTTTTGCCTCCTGGTCCATCCGTTCATGTGGAAACATTTGTGCGGATATGAGAAGAGGCAAAACGAACAAGCGAGAAAAACAAAGTTGGCAAAAAAGAAAGCACAAGCGCAAGGTTGCCTGCCAGATGGCGCCAGGACAAAGAATAAAGAACAAATCCGACACCCGTTGAAACAGGCACCTGCCTCTTGTCTGGAGACAGGTCTTCAGGCAAACAAGGCAGGTGCTTGGTTCAATGCGCGCCAACTTTTTTGTTTTACTTTGTTCTTTTGTTTGGCTTAGTGCATCTGTGCCTGTTTTGAGGCCAGGTACGGGCACATAGGAAAACGAGAAGGGACTGCCCTGCCTTGTTTGTCGTGGTTATAATGAAAAGAAAAGGGAAAATAAACTTCAAGAATTACCTTTAAGGGTGTTGCGGACCCTGGCACAGGGGCTGCCCTGCCTTGTTGGCAAGGACTATAAAGAACAGGAAAAGGGGAAATAAACTACTACAACGACCTTTTAGCGTGTACTCACACTTGCACTTACCTCACTGGATCCGCCAGCACACGTCGAACCTCGTCCCAAATTCTCCCAACGCGAGTCTGTCTTTTCGTTGTCTTTTAGTTTCCGAAGAGAAAAGAATAAACATGTGTGTAGAAAAGAAGTCAAGGAATTGGCCTGCGCCTCACCACCTCGTTGTCGGAGGTGCAGAGCTTTCTTCCACTCAAAAGACGAATGTCGAAGAGGAGTCAGACAACAAAATCTTGCAAAATAGTCCAACTCACGGACTCAAGAACAAGGACTAAGGCAAAATCAAGGACAACAGGCTTCGTCACAACCAGGATACCAGGGCCCTCTCGGCCCATGCACTTCAGTAGCTGCTCACGCGGTGCAACACAATCCAGGTGCTCTAGTAAGCCCACTGCCAGCCAGCGCGTCATAAACAACCCGCTATTCACTGGAGTTAATCTGCCTTCGCAACTTCAACAAATCCTGACTCGTCACAAGACGCAGAACACGTTGAATGCAGGAGCATCTGCTTTTGCTCCGTGGATACCTCAGGGTACTCAACCCATAATGGTCACACAGTTTGGGATGGGGCTCCCCCCCCATCAAAACCATGTACCCAGTCAAGGTGGAGATTAGATGGTGCTGGTTTGGGAGGTCCGCAAGTTGACCTGGCAGGGAGATTTTGCCCCCGAGAGCTCTATGGAGGGGTAGGCGGAATGCTCTAGCCAGGGGACCAGGGCTTGGGAACGACCATGTCCTCAGCAAGTGGGGGAGGGAACATCCATACGCCGAACAATCACCTTAATGGTGGTGCAATAGCAGTTGTAGGCAACGCGTCCGTGTCAACGAGACGTCCAAATACAGCGGGCAAGCAACATCGTTTAAACGAGGAAGGCAGTTACGGCTCCGGGGCGCATCCTCCAGGTGTCGAAATAACGGGTTCTTCAGAAGGCTCGCTAGATGCAATCCGGGACATCGGCACACCAGGTACAAAAACCACGAGAAGGCGAGTCCAGTCTCGTTGGGCAGGGGACAATTAGATAGTATGGAGGTAAGAGTGCTCCCCCTCTTTGTGATCGACACACGAAATTCGTGTTGGTTCATGGTTTGGTCCTTGGCAAACGGGCCATTGAACCTGATCACACTCTCCTCTCCAGATACACCGATGTCGGCCGCGTTGGCGGCAATCATTCGTCCCGCAATTTGGGATAAAATTCTCTTCCACCTGATCTCGGATTTGACTATGTCTCGCTTTTTGATGGATCACCCGATCAATCAAGGAACAAAATTGAGGTTCTTCGCCGCTGTTGTTGATGTGCGGTTAGCCCCTGGCCAGATAGAAATGTTGGAAGCCGAGGTTCTCAAGTTGTATCCACTATCATGGATTGTTGAGGACAAAAAACAAGAATTCCGCCGATTCTCAACATTGTCGGTGACTTCTGCAGAATTTCTTGCCGATCTCGATGTCAAGCTTCCAAAAGACAAGCGATTAGCATTATTGTGCCCTGGCTTGCTTGCTCTCAACTTCCCTCAGGTGAAGCTTCTATCCCCGCGCCCCACATCCAACAAAGGGCGTCCATGACGGAGAATGCATAAGTCGAAATTGGCTACGTGGAAAGTAAGGGGTCTGTGTGACGAAGCCGGGAAATTCTAGAGAAGCACTCTTAAATTTTGGAATCACGATAGCAAGAGTCATATTGTTTGTCTCCTGGAAACTAAACTCGGAGAAGATAGGATTAACGGGCTAGGTAACTGGTGGGACGACCCTCAATTATGGTCGCCGGCTGAAGTACTAGAGGGGGCGTGGCTATCCTCCCTCATAGGTCCTTGGAAATTATGCTGATTTGTGGGGTGGGTGGGTTTGGATCAAAGTTTTTTTGGATAGTAAATCTTGGGTTATTGCATCTATTTATGCACCAGTTTAAATTAACAAGAGAGCCTGCTTTGTTGAAGAACTGGTTGTAACCATTCCAGAAGGTTATGTGCTCATCACAGACGGAGATAGGAATATCTCATTAGATATCTCCAAATCCAACCACGGTGGTCACACAGGTAAGGACAAAATTGCCCTTACTAATCTCATGAATGATCCAGAGCTTATTGATCCATTCCAACTAACCCACCCGGATCAGCCCGGATATACCTAGGTCTCTAACCTTCGACAGGGATTGGGTTATATCCGATGCCTCTTGGACTTTTTCTTATGGTCGGAGAATATATGGGAATTGATTGATAAAATTGGAGAAGAAGCCCGCTATCTCTCTGATCATAAACCAGTGTATATGGAGGTCCACACATAGCATGCGAGTCGAGGCAAAGGTCTATTCCGCTTTAACACCCAGAATTTGGACGATAATGGCTTGGTTGACTGAATGAAAGAATTTTGGTCCGAGTGGAACTCAGCAAAACCTCACTATTCCTCGTTGGGAGAGTGGTGGGATGTGGGCACGAATCTCTTCTCAAACCTACTCAGTGTGTACTCTCGGATCTTGGCAGGAGGAAGGAAGAAATAGGAAAAGGAAATGAGACGGAAAATTGCATATGATGAACAACGAATGGAAGCCCACCCCATATCTATAGTGGTTTGGGGCAAGGAACCGACGCGACTCCATACGGAATGGGATGCTATGCAACGAAAACACTCCTAGATCTAGGCTGAAAGGCTCCAGATTAAAGGAGTGGCAGTATTTGATAGAATGATTAAAGAGTCGTTTCAAAAACTGCTTCCGTCTCGGGCCTCCCTGCCAATGAAGGAACTATGCCACCCCTTTGACGTCAACGCTCCCAAAGCCAAAACTAAACTTTGTGGATATGCTTCTTGTATTATCGAGATATTCTTACGTGGTGGACTCAGGGTGCCAATATTGATGAGAACTTGGATGTAGGCAATTCTCATTGGGACAACACAATGGTCAGATTGTTCCAGGTAGGCTGGACCTCGATCGTCCGGTCACGGAGTCCGAAACATATGAGGCACTTGAATCCATGCCAAAGGGCACAACCCTAGGATGTGATGGGTTACCAACGGAACTCTTCCTTTGTATTTGGAATGAAGTTGGTTCTCACTTGGTTGAACTTTATAATAATATATTATCTGGGGACCAGCTATCAGCCAACATGCGAAGAGGAGTTATATCTCTGCTGTTAACGAAAGGGGACCGCTTAGGGGTTTGAAATTGATATCTTTTCTTAACGTTTCTTATAAACTATTTGCAAAAGTACTTGCTCGTCGGTTAGGCAGATATCTTCCGAACCTAGTGGTGTCGGATCAGGTTGCATTCATTAGGGGCCGCTCGATCTTTGATAATAATGCAACTGCAACAACGATTGAAACCCTTGAACTTCTTTATACACCTAAAAGTTAAAGAGGTCCTGCCGTCACACGCGGCCGCGGGCCCACGAAAAACCACGGGACGGGCAGACCAGAGCCGATTCGCGACATCGTGGTCGGGGCCAGCCCTTGCGTGTGCCGAGGGAAACGGTGCAAGGCCCGTGGGAAAAAGGCGTGCCCACGAGAATCCGCCCGTCAATTCGCATCCACACGAATCTATGGGACGGGCGCAGGCGGAGCGAGGGAAGAGGGTGTGTGTGTGTTTGTGTGTCTGTGTGTGTCTGTGTGTGTGTGTATGAGAGAGAGAGAGAGAGAGAGAGAGAGAGAGAGAGAGAGAGAGAGAGAGAGAGAGGATCTTTGTCACGTTGTTTGACGGAGGTGGAGGAGGAGTGGAAGAGTGGGAGGAGCGGGAGGAGGAGTGGGAGGAGCTGGAGGAGTGGGAGGGGAAACGGGAAGGGGAAGAGGAGGCGCGGGAGGAGGAACGGGAGGAGGAGTGGGAGAAGGAGCGGGAGGAGTGGGAGGGGAAACGGGAAGGGGCAGAGGAGGCGCGGAAGGAGCAGGAGGAGGAGGGGGGGAGGAGCGGTAGGGGAAACG